ACTCTCTGACACCAATTTGTTACGCCTCCCTTCGTTAGTTAATTTTCTGTAAAAATTCTTCCCGAAGAAACTTAATAAGATTGAGAAAATATTTTGAAAAAAAATATATTAATAGTTTAATTTCTGGTATTTTTGTGACTAATGTCTAGATATCCTTAATATTACTATTAGCATTTTAACTGTCATAACATAGAAAAATACTATTAAACAATACAGATTCATTTTTATAAAGGACAATAGGGAGTATTATTTACAAACATTGCGCAATATGGAAAAGACCCCTTAACTAAAATTAAACTTCATATTTAAAACTCAACTTAAAAGTTGCTCGATAGGCTACGACTGAAAGTGAAATAACTAAGTAGTGTTGTGTGAAAGTGTTAAAATAAAGGCTGTAAATTAATATAGATGTTTGATATTTACTATACAAATAAGAACATTAAGGGATGGAAACTCTAAAACATTTTGCTTGTCCGCAATGTAATCTAAGTTATACAGCGAGAGGTGATTTTATGACTGACTTATTTTGGTTTGTTAACGTGTCACTTGTCTCAGAGTCTGACTCTGAGTTTAAACTTTTCTTTTTCTTGGGTATTTATATTATAAATTAAAGTAATAAAATATTGCTTGTGCTACCACTAGTTAGATACTAAGATAGTGACACCTACTACTAATACAGTATTAGTAATACGGTACCAGTTAGCGTGCTAATACTATTACCATTACTGTTATTTGTATTATAATATTATAGTAATTAGTATTAGTTAATTAAGTTCATTAAACTTAACCACATTTTAAACTTAATATTAACTTTAGGTACATCCGTAACCTTGTATTAAGTCAGGGTTTATACTGAAGGCTACTTTTCACTTCCATGATTGCATAGAACTCCATGAACAAAGTTCCATAAACTATTTACCATATTATTAGGAACATTTTTTGGTTTTAGTATGTTGAGTTACCACATACTTATAATGCCACAGTTTGATGAATTATTTGAAATCTATGTCTATACTATAGTCTGACAGGTGTTGTGGGTTACCTGACATTCTGTTTGAAGTTCATGCCCATAATATCTTAGTAACTGAAATTCAGTAGTACTGATAGTAATAACAAGCTGGAAAAAGTATAAAACAATTGGAACATAAATTCCACTCATTTCCTTACTCATTATACTTTTATACTTAGCATGTTGCCCCCCATTCCAGTGTCAAAGCAGTAAGTCTATAGGTTTATAATGCTAAAAATCAGGTTTCAGTATTCATGGTGAGCAGAGCACAGATAGTCCATTAACAATAAACACACTAACTGAGTGTGTCTTAAATTTTAAGTTTTATTGTTATATCCAGTTAATGCACTTAGACATTTTTTTCTTCACATATATCATGTATAACACAGTGTGTAAGTAGATATTTGATACTGATAAACTTATATTGGAATACATTTAAGTTTCATTTATAATCATCTCGTTTGAAGTGTAATGAAATTATTAGCTTTCTTTGTATTTACTGTAAATAATACGAGCATTTTTTGCAAAACTAACCTTTTTTTTCATAAAAATACCAACTGTGTTTAAACACATGCTTTCCTATCCAGTATTTTTGCACTTGAAAAATGTATACAGGCTTAGACGAATGAGGGTTTACTGTATTACCCCATTTCTTAAGCCAAGTAAGATTAACAGTAAACTAAGTTAAATATGGCTTTTCTCTGTTTCAAAATTATTTTTAAAAAATCACATTTTTTTTTTTCAGTGGTTTGTATATGAAACTTTAATTATTTTATCTTGGCAAGTTTTATAATAAAGAAATGCAAATTTCTAAAGAATACAGCATATCAGTGAGGAATTACTTATAATGGTTTTTATGCTTAGCTTAACTCAAGTTTTATCACACACATATTGTAGATGAAATACATCAAACCACTTTGTTCAATACTTCTTCTTCAGTAATTGAACTAACGGCATTTTGTGTGCTTTAGAATCAAGACCACATCAGTCACGGTTGCCGTTAATTTTAAGTTGTGGCCATTCACTTTGTGAAGGGTGCATCAGAAAGTCGGCAAAGGACCACAAAGCTGTTATTTGCCCATGTTGTCATGTAAGTATCAGTAATGTATTTGGTACATTGAATTTATAAGGTGTTCTGGGGTAGTTGAAAATTGTTTTATGTCCACAACATTACCATTGATTTATAATCTGTATTATACTGGGTTAGATCGTGTGGTTAAAGTACAAAATATGCTAACTTAAAAATGAAGTTGATACAGTAGAAATTTCTTTGTACAGTGTTCAACTTTAGTATTGTGTATATATGTCTTAGGATATAAATAAGTGGTGTATTTTAAATGTTTTCATTTTTTATAATTCCTAACACTTATATTTACTCAACGTTGCATTTTTTCCTTATCCCTAACAGGTTTTCTGTAACTTGTTTTTCTCCCAATATCTTTTTTCCAGTAATCTTCTTTTGCTTTCACTTTTTTTGCACTATAATTGACTAGTTATTTCCTTTATTTTTGCTTCAAGTAATTTAGGCCTCTTAATTAAAGTATGATATCATAACCTATGATTTTGTAATAAATCTGGCTTATTTTAATGAATTATCATTTTAGATGAAAAGCATGTAAATAGAATTTAGTAATGTGAAGAAGTTGTGTTGTTACTATCTTTTAGAACCTCATTTAATTTCCAAGGGATAATGTCCCCTGGTAGGTAAGTGGTAAGTTTATGAACTTACAACACCAAAATACAGGATTCAGTGGTGTACCAAGCAAACAATAGTAACAACCAAAGGTTAACATTTGGTAATTTAGGCTATTCTATTTCCTTCTACCACACTATTTAGAATATAGAAACTGGTTTTTCTCGTATCAAATTCTGATTTTAAAATCTCACCCAGTCTCCTTAATCTCCTTCACTGTTGCAGCTTCTATCAAATCCAAAGGCAAACTATTTCAAAAGGTCAACCAGTCTATTATCATGAGCTGTATGAAAGTTTTCTATCATAAACATTTTGTCTTTGAGCCTTACTGTTTACAAATTGTCATTTATGGATTCCAAACCTATTAACAATCTTAAAATCTCCATCATGTCCTCTGAAGTTCTTATCCTCTCTAATGAAAATATGAAGAGATTTCAACCTGTTTGCATACAATAACTTCTCTTTGAATTTGATGGGTTTTTTTTCTCTTAAAGGTCTTCTGTCATGTTTTATCAAACATGTTCTCTGCTTCAAATTGTTTACAGCAGCAAGCATCATTTAATTATAGTGTATATTCTCTAGTGCATGATGTACGATTCTGCAGTGTTCTAAAAAGTAATCGAAAAGTGGGCACTTTTTCAACATTAAAAAGTTCATTATACACTTTTATCTTTCGTTGCACAGGGGATATAATTTTGCATGTTTTTCTCTGTCAGCAAGATATAAGAAAAGATCTTCAATAAAAAATATCTTTCACTTCTTCCATTTGTAGTAATTGCAAACTGGCAAAACCTGCAATTTGGATAATGTAGTTTGTTTGACATCCCATCCATTTTATAATACTTGTTGGAACAGTTTTTGGCTGTTTAAGTAGTTTTTATTTAAAATATACTTTGAGCTTTGAAAGCAGACTGAAGTAAAACATTCTGAGTATTTGTAGAAGCATTGTGTGTATGATTGGATTTTGTAGGATATCTGTGTAATATTCATTTTTCAATTTCCATATGTGCATATTGGAATGTTTGAAGCTACGTGCAAGTTAGTATAAAAAATAAAATGTATTAAAAGATTTACACGTAAAAATTTAAATTCATATTTTAATGGTTTTCTGTATGTAGAAAATTCTCAGTTTGAAAGATGGTGATGAAGATATTCTTAAGTTACCACCAGACATCCATGTGCTGGGTGTATTGGCTTTATCGTACAGGAAGCCTACTGAGTAAGTAACATTCACGATAGCTTGTATTAAAAATTATGCTTATTAACTTTTACACTTATGGAAAAGGAAAAGACTTCCATATCTATAAATTTTCAATACCATTATGATAGTTGAGATAAGATCAACCATGGGTAAATAATTTTGCAGACTCAGCTTTAATATGTTTTTAATGTAGTCAAGTAAGTTTTGTTTATTATTGCATTGATGGAAGCTTGTGGTGGTGCTTCTGAGTATATTTTATTAAAGGCTTGCAAGACCATAAACAGTAATTTACAGTTTTTCATTTAATCACAAAATTTCAGAAATCTCATACCAGTAGGACTTATTTAGGAACCTATGTTACTTTTTAATGAACTTGGAATTTAAGTCTTTAATATTTATCTGTTAATTTGTGCAGAGCTATATTTGCGAGGTCTAAATGAAGTTTGCTTTAAAGTAGCTTTTAGATTTCTTCGATAGATTGTTTAGGTAGAGTATTCATGATGAAACTTTGTAGGATGGACGGCAACTGCCTGTTGTAGAGACATAAGTGTACAGGACGATTTTTTGAAAGTCTTCCGCCTTTCGTCTTCAGTTCCAGAAGACTTTCAAAATGCCGTCCTCTACACTTGTGTATCTACAACAGTCAGTTGCCGTCCATCCTACAAAGTTTCATCAGATTTTAGGTTTACACAATTGTAGCAGTATTAATTATATTAAATAATTATGAAACATTTCTCAATGAAAGTTTAAAATGTTTATGTAAAAAGGAGATATTTCCTAAATCTTTTAAGCAAAATGTGTGGTTTTTCTTTTCGTTTTTAAATATACATAAATCTAGCTGTAGGTAAACATTGCTTAAACATCAGAAATAGATTCTTCCTTCTCCCAAACAAATTGCTATTTTTCTGTGTCCATTTTAAACTCTTAAAGTCTATTGTACAAAAGGCTTTGATTCATTAAGGATTTGATACTATAATATACCTTAATGTATTTAAGTCTACATGTAGCATAGGCCTAACTAGTCTCACACTAAGAGGTGTGAAAATGTAAATATCTAGGTAGTTATTAGAATTATTGTGACATCTAGTGTCAAAAATTAGTTATATAGTATAATTTTCCTTTTGATTTTTTATGTTTGTAAACTAAATTTATCGTAAACCAAAAAATATATAGCATATTGTTACTATATAATTCATGTTTTTTTTTGTTGTTGCATGAAATTCCAACCAAATCTATAGTTGAAAGAGAAATGTTTGCCTGAATGAAATTAGGAGTAGGGAAGTACAGATGACATTATGATATGCATAAGGGAAATGGTGGGTGTAGGTAGTACTATGCATTACAAAGGGAAAGATATTTGAAGAATGGATCTGTCATCAGTCTAATAGAAGTGTTTATGTGCAAA